AGAGCTGTTTTGAAAACAGCAAGACCATGGTTTTGAGTTCATCAAGCTCTTAGAAAGCAAAAGCCTCAGTAATGGCCATTCAAGCTGACATGACTTTGACAAGCTTTCCTCTTAGAAGTCAAGTGTGCTAGCAAGACAACATTATGGTCAAAGAACTAATCAATCCTTTTGACCATTTCCCATAGAAAAACACCTTAACATGTGTATCCTATCAATACGCAAAGTTATTGTAATACCCAAGACTCAGTCTACTTTCTCAAATCATATAAAGATTTTTGGAAACAAAATTTGGGACAGTTATTTATTAAAGGAAGTAGTAAATTCTTAGTTTACTGTTTGAAAAATAACCACCATTTGTTATATTGTAATGTACAATATGACTCCTGTTATATTGTATGATAAAAGTCCTAGGTATTCTATGCCAAAAGATTTATGCCCAGATGACATTGATGTGCTTGCAAAGCAGTTTACACATTGGTTTACCCTGGGAGGTCTCATAGCAGTGCTGGGAGTGAGCCTTCCTTGAATCCGTTTATGCCTCAGAAGGCAGGAATTGAGGGCAGTTGTGTAAAGATGAGTGACAACGTCAGGGGAAAAACCGTCTGTAATTCCACTAGTTCACCCTGTCCCTGCAGGGACAATGCCACTTCTGAGGAGCTGAGAGAGTTAGATTTGTACTTGAAGGTATTTAGTGGCCCCAAGTTGTAGAACCTTCTCAGCTGCCTGTGGTCTTTGTTTATCATCAGTTCCATAACTGTCTGAGCCCAGATGATGTTTCCATCTTGATAACATACATTTTGATAGACTGTGCTCATGTGATTTCTTTTACCGTGTTTGGAATCTGCTCTCAGACACTGAGTCTGAGAGAGAGACCACCAGCCCCTCCCCAGGCTACAGAGGAGGCCTGGGGAAAGGGCCCCCAGCAGGGCCCGTGGCGGGGGTTCTGGAGCTGAGAGCTGGGCAGGCTGCCTGCGAGGAGACTTGCGCAGGGTCCCTAGCTGTTTCTGGAGCTGGATTCCAGAACCCACCGCCCTGCAGTGGAGGTGCCGGTGGGTGGCTGGGTCGACAGTTCTCGGTGAGCCTGCTGGTGGGGAGGGTGAGCAGCTTCCTGCTGCTCTTGACCTTTGCCATGTGGGGGGGCGGGGCTGTGGAGGCACAGACCCCACTAGGCAGACGGGTCCTGGTGGTCAGCACAGGGCAAAGGCTGATGGGAAATTCTGTACACAAATGGGAATTCTCAAGGTTGGCACCAAATTTGCTCTCCTTTCCTGCTGCTCTCTGTATGAGTGAGGCAACCATTTGGGTGACAGTGATTACAGAGCAAAGACAGAGGAGGTCGGTTCATTGAAACACTCTTCTGTAGTTTCTAAACAAATTGCTGGCCCTGACTTTAGGCCCAAGTGGACCAAGCTCATCCTTGGACTCAGCTCCTCCTCGAAGGCACTTTGGGCATAGGCTTTCCGTGTTTACAAAACCGCAGGGAACAAGAGTGCAATAGAATGGCATCAGAGGAGCAGGCTGGAGCTGTTGGTGATGCTGAACTCAATTTATGCAGAGATGTTCCCTAGCAGGAGAGCACCTGGTCAAGACCTGTGCCCTGAGCCCCGTGGAGCCAGGTGTTCTCCTACAGGTGGGGTGTGTAGTTTGCATGGGGCTGCTTCGCGTGTGGGCAGTCCCTACTAATGGTGACAGTTTAATGGTTGAATCTTACATGCACGGTGTCTAATTGCCACTTGGAAGTGTAGGGCTCTTGGAGTGAACAACAGAAAGAAAGTTAGGTAAATATCAGTTAATAATAAGGATCTAAATTTTTAAAACACATTGGCAGTTTGTAAGTTTGAATAACCATAATACTAATACTTCCATATTTTGAAAGAGATGAGCTGAGAACATTGATTTTGATATTTCTCCCAGGGTACTTGTCTATAAGTAAGATTAAGACTTGAGTGCTTTTGGTGACAGATGATTACTGGCTCAGTGTGGTATCACATTAAGGTATATAAATTTTGAATCATTATATTGTACATCTGAAACTAATGTAATATTGTATACTAACTATATTTTTTTAAAAATCCAGTGCTTTGTCCAATTCAGTGAAAATTGCAGACCCTCTGTTTGCCTACTCATTCATTCATCTATCCATCCATTCACTCATTCGTTCAACGATTTATTTATTCTCCCAGGTATCCATTCATCCAACCACGGGTTCAGCGATGGTTCCTAAGGGTCTTTCTGAGGTGGTCAGCACCAGGCTGGGTACTGGGCAGATAGATGTTGTCCTTCCTCTCTTAGAGTGTCAGATGACAGTTTAGTGGCCTCAGGTTTTGCTCACTTCTTTCTATCTTTAGCTGTTTAAACAAAGTAGAAGCAAACCCCTGAGAAAAGAAACAATTGCCAGGTGACAAATGGCTCCATTTCCAGCCCAGGCGGTCCCAGCCTCCTGCTGGTCTGCCTCTGCCCTGCTCCTGGCCCTCACACAACCCCACAACCCAGGCCTTTCCTTTCATGGGGTAGAGAAGACAGAGGGTCTGTACGTAGATGACTGATCCCTGACTCTGAACCTGGCCGTCTGAACTGTGGCTTCTGCTCTGTGGATCCCCATGGGGTGCTGCTCATAAGAGTCCACTTGGTTCTCTGGGCCTCAGGCCAAGGTTTACGACCTGACCAACTTGTGATGCAAGTGGGCTGGCTCTGTGTTTTGTGTTTGGTGCCTTTTTTCACAGTGAGCTTTCATAGGCTCTCCTCTTTGGTCAGAACGGTGAATGACGATTTTGAATGTCTCTCTTGGGAGACTGTGTAGCACATTTAAGTGTATTTGCTTTTATTCAGGGGTTAACCATCTCTCCCTTAGATTACCAGGCAAATTAGCACATGTTCTGTGCCCCGTCCTCCACCCCAGAATAAATCAAACACCCAAATTGTCACCAGGTTATGACCCTGTGGCTTCAGAAATCATATTCCTATAGGTGTGGTTAACTGAAGTGGAGATGAGCACAGTTTTTCTATTAATAATGCTTTTTTTACACCAGTAGAACTCATTATTAAAACTTACTACACATAACTATAAACTAGTCATGATTTCAAAAAATATAATACACCTTTCTGGAACATTGTTGTAATATAATATTTATATATAATTGGGTACTTTACTCATCGTTCTTCATTGTCTTCAATCCTTTCTTAGTCTAATTCTTGTTTTCCTAAACCTGAGTGAACAGTTTTTGCATTTATTTTAAACCCTTTATTTCAGAACTCAAACCCTTCCCTTTTTGACAAAGCCCCGTGACCTTTGTTCTCCCTCAAAACCCAGAAAGATGTCACTACCCGCTTGCCCTCACTGAAGGAGGAAGCGAGCCTCCGAGAGGTTTCACCAGAGCACACCTGGCCCTGCCTGCCTTTTCTGTGGTCAGAATTGACCAATCCATGACTTAAAGCAAGAAAAAGAAATGAAACCAGGCATGTCAGGGGCTCCTGAATGCTGGCGAGAGGGGGGGGGGTCATCCCCCTTTCTGACGTTGTAACTGACTTCCAAATCTGGCATCTTTGTCACATTGGCACTGAATGTCACCTTCTCAGCTGTCACGCAAGCTGAAACACCAAACTTGCTCTCGCCGTTACTTATCTTTTAAAGGAGTTAAGAGAGATTTGGGGTTTTTTTTAATCACACCTTTACTAGAACATTCCTTTCTACAAGCACATTTGAGTGCATCTTAGCAAAGTGTACCTACCATGACCAAGAACTCTCATTGTGCACAAGAGGCATCACCTGCCCAGGCTCTTTCACAAACAGCAGGAAGGGGGCATCTGGCCAAGTGTGTGAGTGAAGATGACCAATGAGGCTGTGCCAGAACCAGCGTAGGAAGCTGACAAATGTGTGGAAGCATGGCGTCCTGTGTGGGTGGCCCAGGGGGCACCTCTGCCCATCACTCTGCAACTGCAACACAATAGCTCCCGTCCATGCTCTTTTGGGATAGAGTGTGCCGTTGGGAGCCCTTTCCAGCTTCATGACCTCAGTCAAACTCCACCACCCATGTTGAGCTTCAGTTTCCTCATCTGTGATGATGGGCTAGTGAAAACAACCTTCTTTGGAGGTGGTTGTGAGAATCAAATGAAATAATGTAAAAATGTAGAATGGTACCATCAGGCAGTAGACACCCAACATCTAGTGTCTGCCTGTTGCTTAGTCATTTGATTCAATGAATGGGAATAATTAGAGCCAAAAATGCTCCATGATTAGCCCAAAGGGGAAGATCGGAGTGGACAGTGGTGGGGGCTATTTTAACCAGCCTGTGGCCAGGTGTCTGGCTGGGCAAAAGGATCCTGAAGGCTCCCCAGCTGGCCCCTGCTGCTGGCCAAGAGAGAGCAGGTAGTTCTATTGGACAGTCAGTCCCACTGTACAGTGCAGACCTCTTAATTTGCAATCATGAATAAAAAGACCCCTTACTTCTATCCTCCATTCCCTCCATACTTCAGCCAGCACCACTTTTACAAATACAGTAAATGCAAATCAGTGCCCATGTGCTGATAGTCACACAAAGGTTTCCACATTTCTGTGAGAACCCCCCTATCAATGAAGGACTAAGACTTGGTTTTTATTTGCAATATTTCTCATCCTTCTACAAGATACTATGAGCAGCTTCTAAGTACTATGAGCACTTTCTAAGTCGCTATAAATGACATTGCTGTTGCTGGGTACGGAAAATCTACTCACGTTGACAGCTTTGCAGACATCCTCCTCCAGGAGCTGCCTGGGCTGTCCTCTCTCACTTCCTTTCCTCATGCCAGGAACTGGCTTTCTGAGTGGTTCTCACCCTGCTGACCCTGTTACTGAGCCAGCTGTGGATAAATTCTCCACTGACTTCAAACACCTGCCTCGCCCAAGAGTCTGTTTCTATCTCCTGGGGAAGAAAAACGAAGTTCGATTAACCAACTGCTGATTGTATTGTGCAGAAAGCCTCATATTGTGCCAGTAAATTATTGCTCTTTTTCTTTTTCTACAGGAATATTTTTATCCAAGATACTTAGGTAAGTTTAAATCACTGCTTCCTCAAGTTGTCATAAAGGCATAGTTGGGAGATACATGTATGTGTTACATGTCAGAGAAACATTTGGTCAAAATCTCATTACCAAGTTATTCCTGGAGGGAAGATTGTTTAATCACAGTGAGTTTGGAACTAACCAGAGCACACAGTTCAAAGCACTTGTTTGTGTTTTTTATACCATTATGATCTGTATTAACTTAGCCACAATCCATTGCCTTTATTTGCAAACCTCCTCTCTGCTCTTAGTTTGGGCATAGCTCATTATTTGGGAATATGATTAATTTAGTAAAATTCTCAGGCTTTTTGATCTCAGGGCTCTGCACTTCTGAAATGATTGAGGATGCCAAAGAGCTTTTATTCATGTGGGCTGTATTTATTGATATTTACCATACTATTAATTAAAACTGAGAACATTAAACAAATGTTTTTGTTTAGTTTGAACGACAGGAATGTCCAAGTAAACACTCTTGGCAATGGGGCAGTGATGTCATTGTGTGTAGGGTGTCCTACTGTACACTTGGGAGAGAATGCGAGTAAAGGGCAAGTGACAGCTGAGTCCTATCAGAACAATGGCATTGACTTCCTGGACAACCTGAAAGAGGCCCTGGGTTCCCTTGAGAACTGCTCCTTTAATTAATACTGTTTTAAGATTTTTTTGGATGCATGTCACTTATAACAAGTGAAATTCATTCCATGGTCTTCCTTTTTATAATTTTGTAAAGTACATGTTAGAAAATTTTCCATTGGCCTTATATCCTCTTAGAGGTACCTTCTCTGGGTCCATATCTGGCAACAAGCAAAGTGAACCCATGATTGGTCCTAAAGTGCTGGGAACCTGTCCACTTCCCGTCTCCCTGTTGGCCTGTGCAGGCCTTGCTCTTGGTATGTAGGGTTTGTCTCCTGAGGCAAAGGGTGGCCAGTTATCCCATGAGCCCACCCTCCAGGGACCATCTGTTGCCTGTGCTGATGTCCTCCTAGGTGTGGAAAAGCACAGGGACCTATGGGAGGGCCAGATGAAGAAGCTCAACACCCATTTTGCCAAAGTTCCAGTTGTAGATCACCCGGGATGCCTGTGCTCAGAATGTCAAGCCTACCCCGCAACTCTCATGCCCATGTGAAACATTCATTGTCAATCTGTCCAGCATGTCACACAGTTTGGAGGAAACTCTCCCCAGAGCAGGTTGACTTTCAAATCAAGTGCAGTATTTCCAAACAGGGGTCAACTTGAAATAGAAGTTTAACTGACGAGGGTCAGAAAACTTACTGAATGTTATTAATGAGTCTTCTGAAGAACAGCAGAAGGAATCCACAGGAGAAGCCACAGATGGTGTGTGGTAATGTTCTTTGGATACAGAGTCTGCCATTTTGGTGGAAGCATTTTCCTGTTGGTCAGTGTTAAAATGTTTTGTTAAAGCATATTAACAAAAGCTAAAACTGTGTTATTGCTGGAGGACTGTAGCAACCCAGTAGATGTGAATAATTGACTTTTCCAGAGGTGTTTAACAGACTGTAGTACTAGTTCTAAAGTCTGTTCTATGTCCTGTGACTGAAGAATGACACACCGTCCGTTTCTCTCTTGCAGAATGTATTAATAAATATGGATCTCCGTACACAAAAAACCCAGCTTTTGTTAAATGCGTTCAAAGTAAGTATGTCTCATTCCTGTCTTCCTCAAAGCCCCGTGAGTTTGGTTAACTTTAAGCTTTCTTGTGGTTTTTGGGAGGTCTTGAATGTTTCCATTTTCTTAAGGGACTGTAGCCCCTGCCTGAGGTCCTCTCCCTTGCCACTGAACTTTCTGTTTTAAGCAAGGATGTTTTGGTTTTGAATTGCAAGAAATGTACATGGTATGAAATTTAAACCTTTCAGTGATGAATTTAATGTGGAAAGGGGAGAGGAGTGCTGCTGTGTGGCCCTCTCACCCCTGGTAGCCTCACGATCATGGGGGGAGCCGCCCCCTGTTATTTAGGCTGAAGCACCTGTTAACTCAGAAGAGGCAGAGCCCATTCCCTTGCATCGAGGGAGACCTGGAACGGGCCCCTTCCCTCAGGGTCACCCCGTGACCTCAGCCTCCTCAGGGATCCACCCGTGACTTCGGCCTCCCCAAGGGTCAACCATGACCTCATTGGGGCCTTAGGCAGACATGGGAGCATGACAGCGGTTGCAACTTTGTGTCATTTTGATTTTTTTTTTTTAGTTAGCAGTTTTTTTGTTGTCAATTTGCTAAACCAGTTTCTTCTTTTCAAAATATGTACTCGAATTTAGTTCCTGGGTTTTAATGTGTCCTTTTTTCTGAGGTTATAAGAAGGTTATCTAATGTTTCATGTTTAAATGTATGCTCCGCCTGGAATTTCTCCTGATGCAGAAGTGAGGTAGTGATCCAGATGTATTCATATTTTATCAGATAGCAGCCCCCTTGTTCCAATACCACTTATTTAAAATCACTGGGGTTTTGCTCGGAGAGAGGCCACCACAATCCTGAGCTATGCTGTTCCTATGTGGGAGATTTTGTGGCGTTAAATTGTTTGAATAACAGACGATTTCTTACCAGGGTTGAGACTGTCTCTCCTCCTGGATGGCGGGCAGCCTGGGAGATGAGGTGGGAGGGAGAACCCCAGGATGTTTCCTGAGCTGACGTTTAGAGGATAAACCTCATGCAGCTGCTTGTGCCAGAAGTATTAAACGCAGTTTCTAGCAGCTTAGGAAGCTGCCTCCCACTCCTGGTCTCTCCATCCAGCCAAGAACCCACTGTGACCCTGAGCAACGCTCTCCCCCAACTTCTCCCCATGGGTCAAGTGTGTCGTCCTCAGGCACTTGACCAGGGCACTGTCTCTGCACCTCAAGTGATGCCTAGGCGTGACGAACGTCTCTGAAGCCTGAGGTACTGCACAAATACACCAGCTAGCCTTACAGAGGAGCCCTGTAAAGAGTGCCAGGAAGAGGTGCCTGTGATGCTGTCACTTGGGAAGGACACACGCCCGGTCTTGCGGTCCTCAGGATATATGCCTTCCAGGCTTCAGTGCATGTGGGGTCAATTCAGGCAACTTTGCACCATTTTCATTCGTTCCTTCCTAAAAATAGCTGTCTCTGGTGATCACGGGCAGCTTATCATAGCTGAGTGCTTTGATAGCCATTATTGTTAAAATTAAAGCAATAGTCTCCAAGAGATCATCTTTTAGTTGCCAGTGTTCAGCCCTGACAAGTCCTGGGCCTGGGGTGGTCTTTCCCGCTGATAGTGTTACCCTCCCTGTTCGCAGGCAGGAGGGTCTGGGATGAGTTTCTGAAGCCTGGGTTGCTCTGCTTTGCTCTGGTCATGTTTGATGAGCCCCAGGCCTGACTCTCCTCATGAAGGAGGATCTCTTTACCCTTTTTGCTTCGGACAAGAAAGTGGGCCCCGCTTTCCAGGTTATAACTTGTCATTTCCTTCAAATTTTGGAAAAGGAGTGCAAAAAGCACCTGAGAGAGGCATTCCGCTGGCTGTCAGCAGATGCTTCACATTCCAGCCCACTGCAGCAAATGAGTTCCTTCCTCCCTTTCCTTCAACACAACCCTCTCAAGGCCAAGATAACCCCTTATCTCCTCAACAGCCCGTTCCAGCCAGAGGCCTGGCGTCAGGGCACCCAGCAGCCCAGAAACTCTCTGTGGGCTCCCTGGGTGCTCCGAGACCTGCATAGGTTTGCCTTAATTCTCAAGAGTGTGCTGGGCACCTGCTGAGTGTTGGCTGCTCAGATGCACATGCCTCCTTCCTTTTGCTCTAGAGATAAACAACAGGGAAGTAAATAAAAGCAGCACTAGGTGGAGTTTTTCCAGGGGTGGGTGTTGTCTAGGACTCTCCTAGAAAATCCCACCCCAGTGAAAGCTGATGTTGGCCCCTCAGCTCTGGGGACCCTGAGTTTCTTAAAGGGGGTTTAGGCATTCCAGGCAAATTCCAGACGAAGTTAACCAGTGCTTTGTGCCAGAGGTGCATGTGTGTACTTCTAAAATAACTTTAAATCTTTAACCAAATACGTCAAGTGGAGACGCGCACCACCTCCTTTACTTCGCTCCCATGCAGGCCCATCTGGGCCTCATCTCTTGGTCATGGGAGGCATCAGGTGAATGAGTTGCTCCATCCTGGCTCATGTGCTGGCCAAGCCCTGCACACGTCACCTACCCCTGGTCTCTCTGACCCTCCTGCCCTCGAAGCCCCTTCCTGCCAAGACGAGGTGAGGAAGGCAGAGCTGTCTCTTCATCTCTCTAGTCCTGGGGCTGGGCTTCACGTCACCTTCCCCAGTCCTTCTGTCCCCAGAGTGTAACCCTCATTATAGCAAATGCAGCGGCATGGAGAGGCAACCAGAGCAGCGACATGGGGACCGCAGGGCTGCTCTGTCGGCTGGAGGCAGCTATGAGTGACACAGCGTTCCATGACCAAATTCCTCTGATTGCTGAACCCTGTTCCTGCTTGCTTACCTATAAAAGGCATTCACAGCCCCTTGCCAAAAACAACAGCACAATGTCTCAAAAATACTAGCAGGCTCTGTGTTCGGTATACACTCGCAAGGGTTTTGTTGGCTGTGGTCCTGCAACACAAGCCCAGTGTGAGGTGTGCTGTGGAAAGGTCACAAGCAGAACACGATGAAAGATTCCGATTCCAGGTTTTCAGACACGATTTTGCAAATTCCCCAAGGAGCGGGGTGCCCAGACCACGTGGATGGCTGAGGTTACACAAAGCGCAGTTGAGTGTTGAGACTACGCCAGCCACAAGGGCTGACCTCAGGTGAGCTGGAGGAATGCAGAGGTCACTTGTTTCCTGTGCTGGCATCGGGGAAACAGCTCTACCAGGAACTCATTTTGGTGACAAGAGCAAGCCCTGTGGAGGAAATGCTATGCCCAAACTTGGCATCAGGCTGGAAGCACCAGTCATATTAAGAAAAGTGATAAATCAGGGGTGACACCAAGACAGCCTCTGGCCTGCTGCTTTCCGCAGTTGGCGATTCTTTTGGTTTGGGCCTGTTCCCAATGACCAGACAGTGGAATAAATGGTGACTTTGGATCTGTATGGGGGTGGGGGGTGGGGGGGACAGAGGAAAAGCTGGAGAACTGTTGCATCCAAATTTCCCTGGGGTCAGACAAGCTTCTCCAGTGCTGCCAACCTGTCACATTACCTAAGATGGGCTATTCACTTTATAAATTAAAAAAGTGGTAATACCTGCCCGATTAAAGTGCTGCAGATGGATGCATGGCCCTGGGAAACCGTACTAGTGAAGTGGTTGAATGATGGTGGATGCCAGTGTCAGAGAGAATGTCAGTGTGGCTGCTCTGAGCCGGACCTGGGTGGCATGGTCCTGGTGTCACCTGCCTTTTTGCTGTCTGCTCAGCCACCTGCCTGGGCCTGGGGATTTTTGGCAGCTAACTGGCCTGGAGAAATGTACCTAGCTGCTCTTAATTAGACACAAGAGAGAGACAAAGAGAGAGAAGCCAGATTTTGCCGTCAGTTGTCAATGCGGCTAAAATCCACTCACCACGGGCACCAGCAGGTTTACTAAGGACGGTCTGGGCGCCTTCTCACTCTGACTGTGAGCAAATCAGCCTCAGTCCTTCGTTTGGACCTCAGCCATGGACCCCATGTTGTTCAGAGGCTGGATAAGGCATGTCCACTCTGGATGGGACAAGACTAGAAATAGGAAAATGGCAGAGAGTCACTGGGAAATGTTTCATGTCTGCTGGCTCATGCGAGGAAGACCATTAGAGATTGTGTAGGGAGCAAAAGCAAAAAGATTTATACAAAGAATGGGAGAGAGGGGAAACCTGCAGACCATTGAGGAAGAGGAGATCCTGTGGTGCTTTCTGTGTGAATTGCGTGGGGACATGCGGCTAGAGGTCAGTGTGGACACTGAGCCTGGAGTGGGCTGAGTCAGGACATAGCTCCATTTGAGGGTTTCAGGAAAACTTGAACCAGCGAGCAGCAGTGAATGCAGGGCTGGCTGTTCCTCTAAGACTTGCTGCGGTTCTTCCGCTGTCTGAGCCTGGCCAGCTCCAGGTTTCTGCAGCCTCCCAGAAATGTCTCAGCTGCCGTGTGAGCCTACAGACATGACCCTTCCTCACCCCGGTGGAGTCCAGCCTCTCCACAGTGTTCTGAAAACCCCACAGAGTGTTTCAGATTGAGCGGTGATAGCAGAAAAGTGGATGGAAAGGCCTGTCCCTCCCTGCCAGGCCCACCTTGGCTTGGCCAGGGGCCCCCTGGAAGGGTTCTTGGAGCTCTGGATGCAATCATAGCTTTCCCCCCAAGTACTCTGTTCTCAGCTGCTTGAAGCCTGGGAGCGTGTAATCGCCATGAGGTGAGTTCCCCGCTGGTCATGCTGGTGATGTTCTGGGCTCTGTGTTGTGGAAGCCTCATCTGTGTTTGTGAGAAGCTCCCTGGCTCATGGAGGCACTCTACATAGCCTCTTATCTATAGGCTCTAAAACAAGCAGAAATGGTGTCAGTGATTGACATGCTCGGTCCAGACAGAAGGCTCCCCAAGTGAGTAGGTCAGAGTAAATCTGGCCTGGGCTCAGCCACCCCAAGACACTGTGGAAGGACCTGGGAGTGGCCAGTGCAGCCTGGGCCTAGGGCAGTCCCCTGTCCTGTGCAGGCAGATTTCTGGGGGAAAAAAATGGGGGGTGGGGGGAGAGAGAGTGGGGGCAGTGCTCCCGCAGTGGCCAAGCCCAGTGGAGAGAATTTTGGTGAAGGTTGATGGGCTTAGGGTTTGAGTGGGCAGGGGGCCTGGTCTAAAAGGGTGGAGATGTCCTCCAGGGATGGGGGAATGTTCCACATCTGCCTGGCAGGCCTTTGGGTCAGCCAGGGGTCTGTTGACCTGCTCCCTGGGAGGTCTGTGCTCATGGGGCTGAGCCAGGCCCACGCCTTGCCCCCTCCACTCCCTGAAGGCCGAGACCCCAACGCCCCTGGCCTGATGGGTGGGTAGCCTCTCCCTCCAACTTGACCTGGGTTTCCTGGAACTGGCCAAGGGCCTGGCCAGCCTGTTTTGTGACTGTACTCCCTTGCAGAGGTGGGAGCTCTGTGTAGCCAGCCTGGCCAGCAGAAGGGATGCAGGTGCCCAGGGCCTGCTTCGGGATCTCCTGCCACGGCCAGTGTTCCCAAGGGCCCAATGAGAGGCGGGGCTCCTGCCCACCATGACCGGTCCTTCCCAGCTGACCAGAGAGAGGCAACTCAGGACAATTTTCTCCTTCCTTTCGTCTCAGACCTGCCTGACCAATGCTCTCCAAACCCCTGCGATAAGAAGGGAACCCAAGTCTGCCAAGACCTCATGGGCAACTTCTACTGTCAGTGCAAAGCTGGCTGGGGGGGTCGGCTCTGTGACAAAGGTAAGACCACCACAACTGTGGGCAGGGTTGAGAGTGTGGGTGTTGGGACCTCCCTGCAGGACTGTCCGAGGGGGCCGCCTTTGGGCTGGAGGGTCTACCTCCCTTCTGTTTTCCTCTCCTTGCCCCAACCCCCTCCCTGGCCCACTTGGGGACACAGCCGTGATGGCCTGTTCTGGCTGAGACAGGAGTGGGGAGGCTGGAGGTGCCTGCAGGCTATCCTAGGATCCAGGCCCCTTGATGGCCAGCCTCTGCTCAGCTCCCTGGTGAAGAGGGAGAAGACGGGCAGGCAGGGCATCACAAGAGCTAGAACCTTTAGACAGTGCGGGAGGCCCTGCTTTTGCCTCCTAGGACAGGGGCTTGAGACGCCATCGGGTTAGCTCCTCGAGAGAACTGGGGAGGAGCAGGGTGATTCCTCTCAGAGCAGGACTGAAACAAAGGAAGGAACCACTGTGGAGCAGTAGGAACACCACACAGGAGCCTAGGGGCTGCCCCTGTTAACCTCAACCCCCACTGATTGAAAAGGGGATGAGAGTAATTCCCTTTCCAACCCCCCTTGACTTGGCAGCTGTGCATTGTCAGCAAAGAAGCTGCGAGGAAAATCGCCCAGGACCTGGGTAGAACCCTTGGGTGGAGAGCCTTGTCCCATCTCAGGGCTTCCTGCTGTTCCTTTCTGGGGCAGCTAAGCTGAACTGGAGGCTTGTCCCATAGGTGGTCTGTGAGGGCCCAGCTCAGCTTGTGCAGGGCTTGGCCAGGTTGGGTTTGGGCTTTGTTGCCCGATTGTGTGTGTCTTCGGGCACTTCCGACTTCTGCCCTCCTCGCGTGCACACTTGGATGGCCACAGAGACTGTCACCGTCCACAGCACTGTCGGGTCTCCTTATGCCCTCCTGCCCATGATCTGAGGGCGGGTGCAGTGGAGATAGGCTCCAGGTGGGCTGTATGTCACCCCTGGGCTCTCCCCAGTCCCTCTGTGTCTTGTGTGTGCCCAGATATCAACGAATGCAGCCAGCAGAATGGAGGGTGCAACCAAATATGCTACAACAAGCCGGGCAGCTTCCACTGTGCCTGCTACAGTGGCTACTCACTCTCCCCGGACGGCAGGACCTGCCAAGGTAAGGCCCTGGATGCAGGACCCGCCCACGGGCTTCCTCTGACCTCTCTCTTCATCTCCCGGTTGCCCTCCTTTCTGCTTCTCCCCACTTTTACTTTTGCAATTGCCAAATTGCTGAAGTTGGCAGTCCCAACATTCGGTCTTCTGCGAGAGGCTGCTGGCAGTGGCTGGTTCCTTTGGTTCTGGAGGGGAGGGGAGGGGGAAGGAGGGGTGTTTTGCAGAAAGAGCACATGCCCGGGCATGTCAGCAGCCACAGGGATCTGTCCCAGCACCACCTCGACACAGGATGATTCACCCACCGTGTCTGTGGTGAGGCCGGCCCAGCGAGGAGATGGAGATCACTGCTCCCGGAGGGGGTGCGGTTCCCGGACCTCCTTCCAGTGCCCCGGCTTCTGCAGGCTTTTCTGTGCAAGTCAGAGCCCAGGGCATCTCAGGGGCCATGGCAGGAGGCCGGGGGTAGAGGCTGCGTCCCAGGGGTCTCACCTCTCCACACCCACCCAGCTCATTTCCCCGAGGCCCCCTCCCTGCCCAGTTGTCAGCATTCCTCCGGGAAAGACCTACACGCTGAGTAAAGCAAGGGGCAGGTCAGCACCCCGCTTTGTCTTCTGCTTCCAGACAGTCCAGTCTGGGGCTCCCCACAGCATAGCGCCCTGAGCACACCCCAGAAGAACACTACAAACTGTGGCCCTGTCCCCTCTGCCCCTCTCCAGGTGTTGCCTGGTCAAAGCCACCATGCGCTGCACAGGAGCAGCACCCTACTTTTTAAGGGCGACTTCTTCCTCCTCACCTTCCGACCCAGACATGCTAACATTTGTCTGGCCGCAGCATCCCTGAGAGCCTGCGCACGTTTCTTAGTGGCGCTGGCAGCTCACCCAGGAAATGGAACAGGCTGTGTTCAGGGAGAAGCGGTGTCCGGCGTGAGAGTGCAAGGCCGGCCTGGCACCACAGGACGAATCTCTGAGTCAGGACAAGAGCGATTTTCACCATCCGTAAAACAATTTCCACTTTTGTCCACAGCAGTGGCCACCATCCGTCCACAGCACTGATGACCCAGGGCGTATTTATTCCCTGGAGATAATTCCCACCTGAGTGCACAGAGTAACCCACTTCCCTTTCTACCTGCCTGCCTCAGCCTGAGGCCAGCCACTCTCCATCAGGTTGCCGGCCAAGTGCCAAGTCCAGACCCAGCTCTTTCACGGCCTGAGAATCGGTCTTGCACCCTGCAGGCAGTGTCCTTATCTTTAAGAGCAGCTGAGGACACTCCTGTTGTTGGGCAGAAGTATTTAGCAGAGTGCCCGGTGATCTCACAATGACCTGAAGACCCTGTCCCTCCCTGTTCTTCTCTGCAGAACCAGAGCTCTTCAGCTCAAGGTTTGCACCGGGTGTCCTGCAGCCACAGGGGAGTTCTCGGGGCTTCCCAGACTGTTTGTCAGGTTCCAGGCTGGGCCCTGCGCTGGACTCTTTGGACGCAGGCAATGGTGCTGTGCACTGCAGAGAGAAGCCCTCCTTTAAAAAGTCCTGCTTTTACCTCCTGGAAAGTCCTCAAGTGATCAAATTACTAGTCTACTTTCAATCTCCCACCAAGTCTGTGAAGCTTGAGGAGGACACAGTAGTGCGAGAGAGCCCCTGCCTCCTGTTGCCTTTTCCCCCCAAACAGCGTGCAGGACAGCGGGGTGGGGTTATGCACCTGCCTGAGTCAGGGGGCTACAAGGCACTCTCATTAGCATGACAGATTAATAATTAGTGTGATGGTAGGAGACCCACCCTCGCTGCCAGGTTTCAGGGTGTGCCTGCAGATACTGGCTGTCACACACCTCTCTTCTCTTGGCCATCACTATTTGTTTTGGGACTTTGGGACCCCAGACCCAGGCACAGGAGGCTGTAGGGAATGAGAACCATGGAAGAGACTGGACTTTTCCATCATGCCTCATGGGTCAGACCCTGAGATGCTGGGAGGGAGGAAGCAGGGGTCCCTGCACCACTGCTTCAAGCACTTTCCGTGCACAGTGTGAGAAAAGTGGCACTGGGCTAATGAGGTTAGGGGCTCAGGACTCTACCATCTACTGTTGGCTGCAGGAAGGGACTGAGCAGCCCCAGGTTGCATGGCCCAGCAGGTGGGCCAGGATGGTGCCTCTCCTAAGGGGAGAAGCAGATGAGGGCTCCCAGGAGGAGGGAGGTTGGCACCTCTTTCAGGGCTGGTGGGCCCCTTGGCCAAAGTGCACACATTCAGATTGGGCCTTGGCTTTCTGTGCCCAGTGGCAACACCATCCGCCTGCCTGCCCATGTACGGCTTTCCTGTATCACTGCATTCCGTGGTTAACAGTTGGACAGTGGCATCTTCAATGGGCAAAGTGTCAAGACGATTGAGGATAAAGGAGGAGGAAGTGGAGAGGGCTAAGGTCATGGAGGTCCCGCAGCGTGGGGTTGGAGCCATCCACTGCATTGCAGCAGGCTCTGTGGCAATACGGTAGCTGTGGGAGAAGAAAGTGAGATGACTTGTGGTCAGGATGAACACAGTGGGATTCAGGGACCCATCCGCTTGCTGTTTCTTGTGGGGAAGGGACAGCCCAGTGCTGGGTTTGCTGGGATGTGGAAAGGACAGACTCCCATCAGGACAGAAAGCCCCGGTTCCAGGCCCTGCCCTGGCGCTTCTGTTAGGCCCAGTCCCCACATGTGGTCCAGGCTAGCATCCCTGGGACTTGTGAGAAATGCAGCGTATCACGTCCTCTCTGCCACCTGAGTCAGAAAGTTGGGGGTGGGCCATCCAAGTTTAGCAGGCCCTGCAAGTGCTCTTGAGAAGCTAGGGCTTGAGGACTCCTGTTTAGGGACATTGTGGAGTGGCCAGACAGTGCCCACTCTGTCCAGCAGCAATGCTCAGCCTATGGGGACAAGTCACTAGGCACTCTCTTGGCTGCCAACTCAGAAACATCCAGGGCCAATCATCTGCCTAGATCAGAAGCTTTTCTGGAGCCAATGAGGCTGACAAAGCATGCAAGGTTGTCCTGGAGTTTTTCCTGCAGTGTGGCAGGATCTTATCAGCTGTGGTCAGTTTGCCCTGACGAACCATTCTTTGTGCAAGGCAGCCACTCTGAGAGGGCGGCCCCATGTCCTGCAGCCCCAAAGGGTGAGCGTGGTGCCCACCCAGGAGAGCAGAGTCCGCTCCCTGCTCCCAAGGTGCTCTGCCCAGTGTCCCTGGTGTGGCTGGTGCCAATCTGGACTCACCACCGCACTTGCTGGGGGGAAGCCAGGTTTCTAAGCTCCCGGACATGGGGTTGGCCAGACTGACTCCTGAAATAAAAGACAGGTTCAGAAGCATCACCACAGATCAATACTGATAAAGAACCTGAAGTTGTATGAGCGTCCTCTTGGGGAACACGTGCTGTTTGTGTTGGCTCATTCCTCCCATCCACAAGCAATGTCACAGTTTTCATGTTTGAGAGCCTGTGTTTGGTAAACTGCCCTTGTAACATAATTATGAATAGTTGCAAAGCTTTGTGATACTTATGTTGCTATCTGAGGAATTGCAATGCTATCTGAAGTAACAATTGCACTTTCTAGAAGTAACAATTACACTTTGTGGTTATTCCTTCTGTTGCTGAAGGAAGTGGGTTTTTAACTGCAGGGTTTTTCTGCTAGTTGGTTGCCAAAGTGGCAGAGTGAATGGAAACATCAGGACAGAGCCTTGATGATGTATCATTACTGGGGTGTTTGATTTCCAATAGACAGAGAGGGGGATGTGTCTGGTGGAGGCCTGGTGGAGATGAGGCCAGGGCACCCAGAGGGAAGCCTACAGGGCTGCAGGCAGCAAGGGGGGGGCTCCAGGGATGTAGGGTGGGACTGCAGTTCAAAAGGCCCCTGGGGGTTACAGTTTTGGGGTTTTTTTTACCTTCCTGTGCTGCAATTACTTGAATTAAACAACAATTCTGTGTGTACCCCTGGCCAAGCAGTGCCCTGTCCAGTATCTGAAATTGGGACCCTAATCAGAAATGTCATACCATCTCCACGCTTACTCCTGGGCCTAGAGCTGCAAAGTCCAGGGTATGGAAGGAAGGGTAGAGGCAGGAGGGGAGATGCAGGAGGGGAGGGGAGGCTGGAGAGGATGGAGGGGACGAGGGCAGGGTCGAGACCAGGGGAATCTGGGATTAGCGATTCCTCTTAGGGGCCTGTTCTCAACCAGCCAGCCAGGGCAGCAGCAAGTTTCTGGCTCACTGCTGGTAGGCCTAGGCTGGCTGCATCCTTTTTGACAATCTGGAAAACAGCCATGGTCTTGTCCACTGGTTTTTCTTGCAGACGTAGATGAATGTGCTGACGCAGACGCCTGTGGAGAGGCGCGCTGCAAGAACCTGCTGGGCTCCTACTCCTGCCTGTGTGATGAGGGTTACGAGTTCAGATCCCAAGAGAAGGCCTGCCGAGGTACCCATCCCCAGCCGCCGCGGGCACCACACACATACACATATGCACTCACGTACCACACACACGTAAACGTGTGCACTCTGATGTACAGACAGTGCACGTGCAACACACATCACTCATGTGCACACCACACACATATGCACACAACTGTGCTTTTTGATACAACTGGGCACCTTCTCCAACCTGCCACAGAGAAAAGATTCGAGAAGGAAATGCCACTGTGCTCCTGTGGCAGACCCAGGCTTCTCTCCATCCTCAGCTCAACCTGCTGTATTTGGGGACAGGCCTATGAGCTCTTACTTCCTCTGCTGAGTCCCAGCCATGTCCTCGGGGAGCGCAGGGAGATGCTCTGTCTCATCAGCTTCCTGCCTGGTGCCCTGTGGCTGCTCGCTCCATGAGGGAGAAGATGGGATGGTCCTGGCCTCTGTCTCCTCTCCCGGGAAGTCCCTCGGCCTCTCCAAAACCCTGGGGACACCTGTCAATGCCACAAACCTGCACCAGACCCTTCAGGCCAAGGGTTGCATGGATGTGCTTTGTATGCTGACCTGGTAGCATGCGGTGGGCTTAGCTTGTCTAAACACCCTCCTTCACCTTGTACAGTAACTCCTTCCCTCAGGAAAGATCAGAGGGAGTGCAGGTGCCTGAGACTGGCTGTGCTTGGGCAGTAAGCATGGCCACGGAGGCTGGAGTGGGAGCTGTGAGAGTAGAGGTCTCAGGGCTAAGTGTCTTCTGAGTCACACAGTTTAGAATCCATTTTCACGGGGAACATGCCATGTGTGTAATCAGAAAGAAAGCACATGCGATTACACAGTGAGGTTGAGGACATTTCCCTTGTGGCCTGCAGATGTGGACGAGTGTGCAGAGCAACGTTGTGAGCAGGCCTGTGTCAACTCCCCAGGGACCTACACCTGCCACTGCAATGGGCGTGGGGGCCTCAAGCTGTCCCAGGACATGAACACCTGTGAGGTAATGCCCCGCCTTTGGCCAGGACACTCCAACCAGATTGCCAGACTTGAGTGGGCTGCCCAAATGGGCTCTGCTTGTGGCCCATTAGCCACTGGCAAGGAGGTTTGCTGGGAGAAATGCTTCTGATGAAAGTCCTGGTATTCTTGGGGCCCCATGGGTAGATGTGGGATAGGAGACATGCATGGCTGTATTTATGAAATTGCTGCAGCAACTCCCTACTCCACCGCTGACCAGGTGGTGTGGACCCACAGTGTGATTCGTTCACACATGAGTGAGCGTTTCCTTGCCCCGTCGTGCTTGTTCGGTTTCTCAGGTGGGTGTGTAATCAATGCCTCCTTACTGGGAATGAGGGGAAGCCGGCCTGCTCTGGCCGGCCCCTGACGAACCCCCTGGGGGCTCACACTGCTGTGCTCACTCTGGGCAGTGGAGAAGCTGCATCCTAGAGCAAGGAACTTTCTAGAAACAACAGCCTCCAAGCCCTCATATTTTATTTATTTTACAATATATTGTAGTTGTTTTTATTATTCTCTGTGATTTTCTATGTTTGAAATATTCGGTCTGACAACTAAGTTCGCGAACTCATCTTACAAAAAGTGCTACATACCTCATTGCTGAATATCACTATGGTCACCTTCGAAGTACTCCCCTTGGGAAGCTATGCACTGATGCCAGTGCCTAGTCCACCCTTCAATGCAACTCTGGAACTCTTTTTCTGGAATGGCCATCAGAGCTGTCATCGTATTACCCTTGATGTCCTGAATGTCATCAAAATGTCTTGCTTTCAATATTTCCTTTATCTTCAGGTAAAGAAAGAAGTCATTGGGGGTCAGATCAGGTGAGTGGGGAGGGTGTTCCAATACAGTTATTTGTTTACTGGCTAGAAACTCCCTCACAGACAGTGCTGTGTGAGCTGGTGCGTTGTCGTGATGCAAGAGCCATGAATTGCTGGCGAAAAGTTCAGGTCATTTTTGTCTAACTTTTTCATGCAGCCTTTTTAGCACTTCCAAATAGTAAACTTGGTTAACTGTCCAGTTGGTACAAATTCATAATGAATAATCCCTCTGATATCAAAAGAAGGTTAGAGACATTGTTTTGACTCTTGATTTGGACTGACGGAAATTTTTTGATCGTGGAGAATTGGCTGACTGCCGTTGTGCACTTGTGCGCTTTGTTTCAGGGTTGCATTGGTACAGCCATGGTTCATCACCAGTGATACCACAGCCCAAAACATCGCCCTGCCTCTCCAAAAGCTCTTGGCAAACTTCAACTCTCCTTTGCTTTTGTTCATCAGTGAGCTCCTTGGGGACCATTTTTGCACACACCTTTCTCCTGCCAAGATTGTCAGTTAAGATTTTCCTAACTGTTTCTCTATCGATGTTTACTTGGTTTGCTATGCTTTTCACAGTCAGCTGATCATTTTGATACACAATTCGACTAACTTTTGCAATGTTTTCATCAGTTCTGCTCGTTACTGGTGGCCCTGACCTCTCTTCATCAGTGACGCATTCTCTTCCCTCAGAAAAACGTTTAATCCATTTGTACACTGCCACTTTCTTCATGGCATTATCCCCATAAACTTGGACTAACATGTCCCTGATTTCACTTCTACTCTTGCCAAGTTTAACAAGAAATTTAATGTTTGTTCATTGTTCTAATTCAAGCTCAGACATTCTCACGATGGCACACAAAAACACGCAACAACAATAATAAATGCCACTCAGCAAGACACCACCACACCTTGACACAAACACAGCCATGAGACACTGATATACCAAGGTTATGAAACATTACTGAGCTGTTTGTACAGTGCTGCCAATGTAAGCGCACGGTGGCAAGTTCGCAAACTTAATTGTCAGACCTCATATTTCATAATTAAATAAAAGTAAGATGGAAATTATCAGGGAGGGAAGGCAGTAGCATACCAGAAAGTAGCGCTATGGGATGTACAACTGTAAGCACAGGAGCCCAAGGCTTCTGGAGAGACTTAAGCGAGCCTCACCTGGAATCCACCACGGCTGCTCAGGTTATCATAGAATCTCTGGGTGTTTACGCAAGAACCCGGCTCTGACGTCCACAAACTACCTGTGTGTGTGCAAAGGGCCCATGCTGGGAGGAGGCTGTGGGCAGACACAGAGGGCAGGTCTGGTGTTCTGAGAGGCCCTGCATCAGTCAGTGGGAGAGGGGCTGCACCAGGGTATGCCCCCACCTGACACTCCTTGCTCCCATTCTGACAGGACATTTTGCCCTGTGTGCCTTTCAATGTGGCCAAAAGCATGAAGTCTTTGTACCTGGGCCGCATGTTCAGAGGGACACCGGTGATCAGGCTGCGCTTCAAAAGGCTGCAGCCCACGAGGTGAGAAGGTGGCTTACACAAAGCAAAACAAACCCAAGAGGGCCCCAGGGAAATGGCTGCCTGATGGCTCCATGTCCCCGTGTACCCAGGCTGACACTCAGAAGGGTCCTGGCCATTCTGGCCATCGGCTCAGTCTTGACACAGATGCAGCCACAGTGCAGTTTCAGTGATGGGCTCTGGGTCAGTACCAGCAGGATGTCTCCCATAGGAGCTCTGCTTCTAGTGTCTGCAGGGGCGCATGGCCTGGGTTTGCCATGTGACCCTGGCCTGCTTACCTGCTGCTCTTTCTAAGGCCAGTTGGAGCTCTCTCACAGGGAAGGAGGCCGTGAGCTGCCCACCTTCTCGTGACTGATTTGTTTCTCTGTGCTGGTGCCCAGACTGGTGGCGGAGTTCGACTTCAGGACCTTTGACCCCGAAGGTATCCTCTTCTTTGCTGGAGGCCATCGAGACAGCACCTGGATTGTCCTGGGTATGCGGGGCGGCCGACTGGAGCTGCAGCTCCGCTACCATGGCGTCGGCCGCGTCACCAGCAGCGGGCCCGTCATCAACCATGGCATGTGGCAGACGGTGAGTGTGGCCACCGGTGCCCCTCCTGGGCTGGCCTGGAGTCTCCTAGGCTGAGGGCTCCCGGCAGTTACTCATGCACTCACACACAGCATTAGTGGGTACTGTGCGTGGCAGGACAGGCCCCTCAGAAGCTTACCCTCTAATGGGGCGTTATCTCATCATGTAAACCAGAGTGTGGCCCCCACCTTGACAGCCATGATTCTCAGCAGGGGTGGTTCCACTGTGGGACACCTGGCTGTGTCTGGAGACAGTTTGGCAGGTGGGGGGGTCCTGGCACTGGGTGGAGCCAGGGGCTGCCAGGTACTCTGAGGGCACAGGATGCCCCACCGCAGAGAACCCTCCAGTTCAGACTGTTAATAGTGCTGCAGCTGAGAACACTGGATTGAGGTCTGGGCACCTGCTCTTATCTACATGTCACCTGACCAGGCTCCAGCAACTCACCCATTGGTGTCAGGCAGGGTCAGATGTGACACATTGACACCATCTCGGGCTCTGGCTTCTGGAGCCTGCTGTGGTCCTGCCGAAATCCAAGTGCACTCACACTCAGATGCCTCTTTATGGGGAATGTCCTGGTTGGACCTGCACCTGGGGGCAGCTGTCCGGCTGTTGGCTTTGGAGCACACTGCCCTGTCGTGCATCCCAGCTCCTGGAGCAAAGCAGCCTGTGATACAACAGACTCCCTCCAACAATTCAGAGGCTCCCTAATTGGAAGTGGGTTTTTAGAAGTAAATACTGGAAAGATGAATGGGAAAAGCATTCTCTTTTCCTTTAGAAGTGAAGATAAAATGGAAAATTTCATCCCGGCCTCTGTGAATAAAAACATTGCAATGTTTGCTAACATTTCCATCTTGTCAAGTAATGTTTAGTGCCTTCTTTCCTAACTTCTTAAAGCATAAGTATCTCCAAAGCAGTGAGAAGGGTGCCATGACCAATGCTACAGATAAAACAATAAATCTGGAAGGAAGCAGCCTTAGGGGGTGCAGACATTCCACATGAGGGAAATCAGTGCCCCGCCGTTGTTGGGCGCGAGGGGTCCTGGATGGGGCTGGGGATAGTGCCCCAAAGCTGAGAAAGCTGGAGGAAGCTTGTTGATCAACACAGCTGCCGCCCCACCCCGAGACATGAACCGGTCATTAAGGAGCAGGTCAGGGTCAGCTCTGTGATGATTCCTCTTTATTCTACCATTTCTAACCAGTCCCCTGCCCCAGCAGCGCCCCACACACAGACACCATATTCTTTTGACCGAATTCAGACCCAAGTACCTCACTGTTTCTCCACTTTAGCCCAAAAGGAAATTGATAGACTTCTAGAGAATTAGAAAGATACATAGCACATAGAGTGATAGGTTTTTAATTTTTTTCTACACGGAAAGTAGAAAAGAATGGAAAGTTTTAGAATGAGCTCATGTGTTCATTCAGCATTCAGTGTATGCCAGGCATGGAATTAACTGTTGGAGATTTAGAAACAAAATATGTTTTCCTACTTTCAATGGTGCTCAGCTGAGGATAGGAAGGACCAAAATGGGGGAGCAGCAACATCAGGGCTGACCTTAGTGGGGTGGTGACATCAGGGCTGACCCACTGGGGTGGTGATGACATTGGGCTGACCCAGTGAGGTGGTGACATCAGCGCTGACCCAGTGGGGTGATAACATCAGGGCTGACCCAGTGGGGTGGTGATGTCAGGCACGATTCCCACTCCCTGGCTGAGGCTTAGGGAAGGGCCCTGAGATAAGAGATGAGAAAAGTGGCTCCAAGTGGTTCCCTTGTAGGGAAAGGAACTGAAAAGGGGAAGTGCTGGGAGGGAAGCTGTCAGGGCCTGAGCCACACCACCAGCTGCATGGAGGTCGTGTGGGCACACAGGCAGGGAGGAGGTGTAGGTGATGAGTATAGTCACCCATAGGTTGGGTGCTCTTGATCCCAGGTGGTGATGAACGTTGTCCTCCTGTGTTTGGGTGTCTCTGGGCTCTTGATGATGATGGAAACATGGTCCCCCCTGAGTTTGGGTGTCTCTTGGTCCTAGGTGGTGATGAATGTGGTCCCCCTGAAGTTGGGTGCCCCTCAGAAGGTACACTCCCACCTCTCAAAGTGCTGGTTTTCTTCAGATCTCCATTGAGGAGCTGGAGCAGAATCTGGTCATCAAGGTGAACAAGGATGCTGTTATGAAGATTGCAGTGGCTGGGGACCTCTTTCAGCTGGACAAAGGACTGTACCATCTGAACCTTACCGTGGGAGGCATTCCTTTCAAGGAGAAAGACCTTGTCCAGCCTGTAAGTGCCGTCATTAGTCCCTGGGGTCAGAGCCTGGGGTCGGTCTGAAGACAGCGTTTAGCCATGAGCCGCCATATGTTTAACGCTCACCAGGTTTGGCAAAGGACCCAGAGGAAGGACCTGGAAGTTTTCCCAGAAATTAACAAACAGCAGGGTGCAGCTTCTATCATTAGTCCCACCATCTCTTTCTATGAGACTCATTTGAGTTTTCATCTGAATTGATAATAAAAATGTCTATTTGCAGTGGAGATAAACACAATGAAATTTTTCTTTAAGCAATCAACTTTTTTGGACAATGCCCAGGAACATTTGGGTTGTTAACGCTGCCAGGATTTCCATAGGGGAAAAAGACCTAATGGGGAGGTCAGTACTGGTCATTTTTCAGCCCTGCCCCTTCTCACCCTTCCCTACACCACACGCCTTTGCTCCCTCACCTGTGTTTCTCCATCTCCCAGCATGCTGGTGTCAGTGGCCGTAATCCTTGGTATTGTGATGGTGATTTCACCAATTAGGAGAAATGAGTCATGAGCATGTTGGTGTTCTGAATGGTGGGTGGTATGAGCACTGTGTCCCCTCCAGGGGGTGGAGGAGGGGTGTCCTGCACATACTCTCTAGCATCAGATTCCATTCTAGGGCTTCCATCCCATAGTTACCATTTACACTCCTTATGCCTCCTCATTTTATAGATAAAAGCTGAGGTGCCCTCATTTGCTCGAAACCACATAGCAAGTGGAAGTCTGGGCTGGAATTAGTATTCCCAGCCCTTGGACTTACTTAACGTTTCCACAGGTGCTTCTTGGGTGGCAGGTAAGAATACCAGGCACAACTGCTGTATCAGTGTCACCTCGTCCCACATCCTTTCAGTAGGTCGTCAGTGCTCTCCACTCTGTTTTAGGAGTGTGTGTTATGAGATGCAGACAGAGCAGGTGGGGTTCACCACACAATACATGTTCTCCTTACCCTGCAATGGAAAGAGGACGCATCGCGTTTGCTACACTCGAAGGTAGCCTGCAGTGAAGCATTTTTCAAGTGCAGAGCCCTTTTATGAAATAAATAACCTCCGCAAGTAGGATTTGTCCATTTTGCAGTAATTTTCACATGCCTGAGCCAACAGGGTGCCCCATTCATCTAACGAGGGTGGCACCAGCCACATGGCCTCTCGTCATGGTACCTGGGAGTCTATGTGGCTTCTAGGATGTCACTGGGATTTCTCTGTCTTTCCAGATAAACCCCCGTCTCGATGGCTGTATGCGGAGCTGGAACTGGTTGAACGGTGAAAACACCGCCATCCAAGAAACAGTGAAAGTGAACACGAAAATGCAGTGCTTCTCTGTGACTGAGAAAGGGTCCTTCTTCCCTGGGAACGGATTTGCTTTCTATAGCCTAGATTATGGTAAGTCGTGGCTCTCTGTTGGGATGGCTGTGGCTGTGCTTTAAGCCAATATATACCAAAAAATAGAAACAGCAAGAAACAGCTTCTTATCCAGGGGTAAGCTGGTGCCCACCACAGGCTCTGGGACAGCATGCAGCAGAGTGCAGGCACAGGCCTCACCTCTCAGGGGTGCCACTCCTTGTCTGTTTTGAGTTAGCCAGTGAGCAAGAGATGACAGATGGAGAGAAGACGGCTGACCTGCTCGTGCTGTGGTGGCTGAGATGGGGTGGCTGGGTAGGATGTGAAGGATCTAAGAGGGTGCTTTGCAGAAAGTTCTGAGACAAGTCAAGCTTAGGTTTGTCCAAGTAGACGGAGAAGCTCTCAAAAATGTACTTGAAATTGCAAACACCAGTGACTCATGAGGAGTAAAAAGGGAGCAGTATCTAAAAATCAGTGTCACAGCCTCAAGGACTCCAGTGAACTCAAGTTTTAAAAGAAAGGGGAGAAGAGCAGAAGGAGAAAGGGCCATCTAGCATGAGTTGAAGCAGGTGACCCAGCCCAGTAACTCTGCCAGGAAGGCTGACATTCTCAAAAGAATTGAGGCTTGGGCTGGCCGAGTGGCGCGATGGTAGGGAGCTGGCTTGGGACGCCAGAGGGCCCCGGTTCGGATCCCACATGTGAGGGCCAGTGACGCTGCCCTCCACAGCTAAGATGCTGGGCGGCAGCTCACCCTGGAGCTGGGCTGCCGTGGGTCGCCGGCGACGGCATGGGCTGCGGCCCCTGTGGCGGTAGGTTGCCAAGGGTTTAAAAAAAAAAAAGAATTGAGGTTTATCAAGCCAGTGTTGAAAGCAACAAAGGAGTTTTTCCTTTATACCCAAAAAAAGAAAATGAACTCAAAAGCAACATGAAGCTGGTGTGTAATATATACATGTAGCAGAAAGAAGGCAGGAAATGGCACAGACTAGAGGATGTGGGCAGGTGAGGGTGGGCCCAGGGCCTCCCAAACACTGTTTGCACACACTGAGTTTATGTGTGGGAAGCTGGAGGGGTTGGGCCTGAGGTTAGCTGGTAATCCCTGTCCATCAGTGATAATCATTTAGGGAGTGAGTGTAGCTGCAGGGGGCAGAGGGTCAGGCCAGAGGCGCCCCCCCCACCCCCCGGCTTCTGTAAAGCAGGGCCCTTAATTTCTTAAAACAAAACACATCTATCTCTTTCCTTTTATTATCAAATTAGTGACAATTTACAGTAAAAAACAAATAATCCTAACATGCTGATAAATGAGCATTCACTTAAACATAAACTTTACATGAAATGAATTAACGTTCCAAATCACATATGTTATCAATTGCCCGGATGATAAAAACTCTTTTCTGAGGGCGTCAGCGTGAACAGTTTGATTGGTGGTAGATGGATAAGCAATTCTGTTGTTTGACTCTGGACTCACAAGATTTTCCTGAATCTTCTGCTTAGATAGGTTTTAAATTAATCTTTGTTTCTTGAGCCTATTCCAGCTGGAGCCCTTATTGTTGTCACTACGCCTGGGTTCCTAGATCTTAGTAGCTTGTGAGCCTGAGAATGTTAGGAGAGCCATGTATCCTGGCCCAGGAAAACATACATGTGCAGAATTGTGCAGGCTCTTTAGGGCGGGTTCGAAAGCTCCCTGGAGCCCACGTCCAGAGCCTTGCCTGTCTGACAGCTCTTACAGGTGCTTCCCGGGCCTGTGTGGCTCCTGCTGACACCTTGGTGTAGGCAGGCTCTGTGGGGCTCCTCATGCTCCCTTCTCCATAGCCCGCTGCTGCCTAGCCTCCCGACATTGCTGCAACGGCCATCTCTCCTGGGGCCATTTCTGGCAATGCCGTACCTCTCTCCTCATTCCCACACTGCGAGGGTCCCGCTGGGGCACCCCCAGCCCTTTTGTTCCTAAATTCTGAGCTATTTATGGTTGAATACTCACACTCAGTTTTCCCCCTGCTCATCAGCTCAGGATGGCAGGCAGCACACTCCCTCCTTCAGACCTCACCTCACATGTCACCTCCAGCACCTAGTGGAACCTCCAAGTTCAAGGAGGATGCATCCAGCTCGGAGGAGAGGAGACCTGCTCCTCCCTCCTTAGCAAGACAGGCCATCCTCTCAGAACCCTGTATCACCATCCCCCTTTGTATCTTTGCTTTAATTGTCAGAAGCATTACCATGTCATTAAAGGTAGGTTTGAGAAAAGAACCATTCACTTCTAATTGCACCTCCTAATACAATACGTATATTATTCCTTTAATCTTCATCTTTATACATACCAATCTAGAACATCTCTATAATGTTTAATATAAAATCATGTAATATAAGACATTTAATTCTTTTTTCACTTAATATTATAAACATTTTTCATGGTGTAACAAAGACATCACAGGTATAATCTCTGCTGACTGCAAATGTTCCCATTACTGTACGTACAAAGACTGCTTACCAATTTTGCTGTGTGGTTTTGACCTGTAAGTTCTAGGACAGCAAAGTCTGAATGAATGGTATTTACAACTCTATGCATTCTTCATAAACCTTGAATAGTCCATCAATGTCCACTTTACCATACAGAAAAGACTCATTGGGAAATTACTGGTTCTATACTCTTGCACTCCGCAGCAGTTCAAAATTGGTTTGGATGCACTAGGTCTCGAGGGCTGAGAAGCCTTGGGCTGGAGTGGGTGTGTGGTAAATCCCATCCTGTGTCTGAGAAAACTTCTCAAGGAGAACTGAGGCGCTGGTGCCTTTAAAAATGAGCTGACAACCTGCTATGTGCCTAAATCCCATCAGAGGGGAAACTTACCAGAGAACACTCCTCTCTTCCCTCACAAATAAAGGGAAAACTTGGTAACAGAGGAAAATGCTATATATGTAAATACACATAGAACTGGAAAAAAAATATATATATATATATTTGGTTATCTTTTTCCAGTTCTATGTGTATTTAATTCAATGAACAATTATTGAGAACTGACTATAATAGATGCCACTTAGGGACAAGGACCCACACATCATTCGAGGAGCTCACAGTCCAGTGGGGAAGAGATGGAAACCTGGGTCATATACACCCTTCACACTAACGGCAGCCTGAGCTTGAATATGTGCAGACATTGCGTCAATGTCATTCTGTCTAAACACACCCCTTCATCAGGACTTTGAAGTTCTTGTGAGATAGAAACACTTAAAAACCAAGAGAGTGGAGGTTTTCTTCTGACTTCTTCATCAGCAGATGATTCAAACATAGGGAGGACACACGGGGTGGTGTTTGCCCTTGGAGAACCAGGATCCAGCCCTTTCTACCAAAATGTGTTTTTTGGAACTGTTTGTGTAAACTATACATATAAATATCGTATACGTATTTCATTTAGATGCTTTAGATAGGATACATCATAATGAATAGTCAGTCGCTTCACTGAGGCATTAGAATAGTAAAAACGTTGCAATTCAGAACATAAAATTGTATATAGTCTGTTGGAATGATGCTCGTGGCAGATTCCATTTGCATTGCATTTTAAATGCTCCAAAGTACTTCCAACCTGGCAGAACTGCCTGAAAGTCATAGGTGAGATACAGCGGGATTGAACTGTGAAGCTCTAACACATTCTGCGCTAAGAGCTGAATGCTGCAAGAGAGGAAGTGAAGGAGCCCAGGGGAGGTGGAAGTCCACGGCCCACGTGGCACACCTGTACCTGAGGTAACAGCAGGTGTGAATGGCTGGTCTGGTAGTCACTCGAAGGGGTGTTCAGGAGATCAGGGCACTGGCATGGCCAGGAAGGAAGTAGCCATCCTCCGGTGGGCCCAGTGCCTTTCGACTGGACGGAGCCTGAATCGAGTGCCCGAGTTGTCTTGTCACTTCCCAGCTATGGGCTGTTGGCTCAGTGATGGCCTCTTAAAAACTCAGCATTGAATCATCACGCAGCTTCCTACCTGCTTCTGCAGCAGGCCAGCATCTGTGCCACCGAGGGCAGGGCATGGAGCTGTCGCTGCTGCAGTCTGCTCACTCCCACCTTTCCCTCGTTTGTATTGCTTCCTGATGCGCCGCCTTCATTGCAGCACGAACGTCTCCAGACTTCGGGACCGAAACAACCTGGGAAATAGAGGTCGTGGCTCAGATCCGCCCCGCCACCGACACGGGAGTGCTGTTTGCACTGGTGGGTGACAACCACACTGTTGCCCTCTCCCTGGCTCTGGTCGACTACCACTCCACCAAGAAGCTCAAAAAGCAGGTACCACTCGTGTGCTGCCCCAAGGGTAGAGGGGCTGCCCCAGCATTCAGCAAACAACCATTGGGGCTGTCTACCCTTGGGGCGCCAACCACTTTTCCTAGAGTCAGGTCACCCATTCCCTGCCTCCGGAAGTTCTGTTCCCACCCTCACCAGCATCGAACCAGCCACTCTTGGCTTGGGGCATTGTTGACATGAGGTCACCTGACACAACTGTATATCAAAGCCATTGTGGGCTGGGGAGGCCAGGGGCCCGCGAGCCAACTGTACGGTGGGGTGACTGTGCTGTCTATACAGCTGGCCAGCTCTTCAGTTTAGAACAATTTGAATTGGTTGCTCACATTTAAGTCAGGTGCTTTCACTAATAAACTGAGATTTCCAGTGCCTCTTGAAAAGTCAGATGTGCAAACACAGCCTGGACCCTCTATAGGTGGCAGAGGCAGAGTGCTGAGCACAGCTGCCCCCTGCACATGGCCTGCCCTGTCCACTTTAATGCAGTCCCCACCACTCCCTACTGTCTCCTGACACTAATCGGCTACCTCTGGTCTTGGGCTTACTGTTTTCTCAGAGAATAGCTAAGAGTCACTAGAAATAAGTTTTGCATTCTTCGCCTCTGTTCAAAGTGGGAAAACATGGCTGAACCAAAGGGGAACACGTTCACCAAGTCACCCTGCCCTCAAAGGCGATCGAGCTCTCCTGCTAACCAGGATAAGGCAATAACAGATTGAGTCTGCACCCACACTCACTTACCACCACCGAGGCACGGGTCCACACACTGTCCAGGGCTGTTTTCACTCCAGTCCCCAGCATTTGGAATAAAAACCTATGGTGACCACCCAGGCAGCGAGAGTGAGGGAGGGGAGGGTGAGAATGTCTATGCTATAAAGTTTCAGTTGTGGGTTATCAGAGCATGTTTCTGGCCCATGTTCATCACACTGTTTCTGCTCTGATATCAGAGTGTGATTCTGGCCTGTGCTGTCAGTGTGTTCTGCCCAGTGTGAGCACCCCAGGCTGCAGGGCCCAGCTGCCTGCTGGGATGCTTGTGTTTGCTGCCCACCCAGGCTGCTCAGTGTTGGTGGCTTCATGTGGCAGTTTCATGTGGAAAAGTGGACGTGGCTTGTGTTCCTGGTCACAGGCACACTAATGGCTTCTAGTCAGTTTCCGTTTAGGCCAGTGCACTTCTTTCTGTATTACTGGAATGTATGGTTACCCCTCCTGACTCCTGGCCTGGGATGGTGTTGCTTTATCTGTTTATCCTCTCATGTTGGAAGGGGCTCTGGAGTCCTCCTGGCTGGCCCGCTCGCTTCACACATGTAGAAACTTAGTCCCACGCCAGCAAGTCAAGGAACGCACAACACAGGCCCACTGAGCCCTGTGACACTTCCTGGCCCCCACCACCACCAAGGCAGGCTCGGGATGTGGGGGAGACTCGAAAGCTTCTAGCCCAGGACAGGACACGAAAGGGTCCAAGTTTGGGGCTGCGCGGCCCCACGCCTGCATGCTTAGGTATGCTTCTCCCCTGCAGCTGGTCGTCTTGGCCGTGGAGAACGTCGCCCTGGCCCTGATGGAGATCAAGGTCTGTGATGGCCAGGAGCATGTGGTGACCATCTCTGTGAAGAAGGGAGTGGCCACCCTGGCAGTCGATGGCACCAAGGGACAGAGCGAAGTGAGCCCTGCAGAGCTGCAGGAGAGTCTGGCCATCCTTGGGAGGCACCTGCAGGGTTCTGTGCTCACCTTCATCGGGGGGCTGCCAGGTAGGACCCCCGGGGGCTGCACACGCAGAGGGCAGAGGCACCGGCTGTTCTGACCATCCCTACCCAATTCGCTCACCCCAAATTGAACCTGGGCATTTCTGTACTGAGATGCACTTTTTGTTTTAAAGCAAGAGAAAATACAGGTAGGTTTATTGGCTGGCATCGTGGTGCCTTCATGTTCAACGCCAGCTTAGCAGCTTAGCAGTTGAGGCCGAGAACGTGATTACTGGAGACAAGCGTTGGCCTGAACCTGCCCCACCTCACCTGCATCCTCCAGGAGCACCTACCTGAGCACGCATCAGACAGTGGCTCTGGCCACGGCCCGTGGGGACGGGCCAACTGATCAAGGGCCATGCCCCAGTGCCCCAGGCTTGCCTCTTCCCTGAATCCAGGTGTCCAGCTGCCGTGGCAGTGGACAGAGTAACCACCAGCCCCTCCTGGGTCCAGAAAGGACCTCCTACAGACCAAAGGGACTCTTGTCTGATCAGATGGAGTGTGCTTGCCCATGTTGCCTCTGGCCATGAGCCGAGTGATCAGGGCAAAGTGGCAAAAAGGCAGACGAAAGTCAGGTGCTTATGTAAGCCAGACCATTTGCTTCATTGCCCAGCACAGGTTTTTACTTGCTGCAGATAGCAGGATTTCTGTCTTGGCTACCAGACACAAACTCCATTTAGTTCTAATAAACAAAGCTTTGAAGAGAGTGAGAGAGGCCGGCAAGCCCTGCAGAATGAATGATTCATTTGGGCCAAGAAGATAATATTTATTTAACTGATTTGACTATCTGTGTATATGTCCTGGGGCGGTGGGGAGGGGGGCGGGTTAAAGGGGGAGGAGGGTGCCTTGCCAAAGCCTGATGGACAGATGTTTAGTGCTTGCCTTCGGGCATGTAGCCAAGCCAAGCCAGAATGGCAATGTCCTGGAAGGAAAGGAAACAGTGCCCCTGAGGAGAAAGTCCAGGAACTGAGAGGGATGCACGGTGCCAGCGGGGGATGCAGAGGGTGGGGAGCTGAGCCTCCTAAGACGGTGTTTGTTCTTTCCCTGCTGGCCCAGATGTGCCGGTGACCTCAGCGCCAGTCACAGCCTTCTACCATGGCTGCATGACGCTGGAGGTCAACCAGAAGGCGCTGGACCTGGATGAGGCCTCCTACAAGCACAGCGACATCACATCACACTCCTGCCCCCGGGTCGAGCAGGCCACCCCCTAGACTGACCACTGCTGCAGGATGAGAAGCCACAAAGCACTCCTCATGCTTTCTTTTCAAAACCAGGAAGGGAAGGCATCAGTCACCCCAGCCCGCCTTACGTGAGCAGCTCCCCAAAACACTGAATCCTTGCGAGCTGAGTTTCCTTTTGAGACCTTTTCTTTGCCTTGTAATATATGTGTAAATAGTTGAGAGGACTAATGTTAATGACCCAGAAGCGCACCCCCACACCCCAAAGCGTCCTGCGTGAAGCTGGGCTCCAAGGAGCCAACCGGAGGGTGGAGGCGGGAGGCCCGCGCCTGCCAGAGCGGACCCAGGAAAATAATTCTGTTATTTTTATTACCAAATGCTTCTTTCTGACCTAAAAATATGGAAAAATAAAATATTTACAGAAACCTTTTTAACTCTGTGTCAGCAGTGTCTGCTCCTTGCATCTTTAGCACTCAGCAGCTTGGGGTAAAAGGACAGAAGAAAGAATTGATGCTATTGGTCTGCGGCCTCAGGAGGCCTTGTACATGACTGTCACTTTTGCCCACTCACCGGAATTGCCCTAATGCTGACCCTGGGCAGAGCTGGCCACTCTGTAAGGGATATGAGCCCACTTTACTCGGGAAGAGGCAGACTGGCCCCTGGGCGCCCCTCTGGAGCAGGGCAGCAGGTGGGTAAATGAAACAGTTCAGGGTCAGCATATGCTCGTTTCTCCCTGGACAAGCCCCTTCACCTCTCAGCCTCACATTTTCTCTGAGAGGCTGTGAATAGCGCTGAAATGGCACTTGGTCTGGTGTCAAGTGCGCTGGAATTGGGAGACCTGATTCTTCCTGAAGCTCCCGCTGTGCCTCGGTTCCTGGTCTGTCAGTGAGGAGTGGAGTAGACAGTCCTCACACTCTGACATAGAGCAAAAGTCTTGGGACACCAAGACTCAAGGTTGGAAGCTACAGTGGGACACATCCATTCTGTGCCTGCTGTGACTGTTGGGGAGAGGATGTGTGCCCACAGCCGGTGGTGCCATTGTGGCAGGCTTTCAAGCAGAGGGTCCCAGGGAAGTTTCCAGCATCTGGTGGCAGTTGTATTCGATGACTGAATGGTTCCCCCAAGACAGGGTCTTCTGAGGCAGTCGGGCAAGTTTCGGTTGTGTTTACTTTTCAGATCTTGTTCCTCAGGAGGCAGTGAAGTGGCATTTCACCATTATGGAGTTAATCCCTAAAAGCCTCAGTAGCTAAGCACAGAATCAGGCAGTCTGGGTTTCAGTGTCTTCACATCCTCCTGGCTGCTGAACATGAGTTTATAAGTCACAACTTGAACCAGAGATAAGAAAGGGTTGGAAGGGAGGATGGAAGCCTGAAGAATCCCCCCCCCCACAGCTAAATGATGAGCACACGAAAAGCAAAGTGGGCCATGGCACCACTGGGGAAGGAGAAACTTGCCTCTAGGTTTCCAGAAAAGAGGGGAAGGACTACACCAGAGGCCCCTGCCTGGCTGTTGCCGAGGTGGAATGACTCCGAATGCACCCAGGTAGGAGGAGACAATTGTTCCTCTTTACCTGATGGATGGCACACCCTTGAAGTGATGGGGGTTCCCACAATACTGGGAGAAGTTGGCAATCACAGGCAACCATCAGGAGGGACCCCCAAACCCTGGGCCAAGCTCACCTCAAAGATGAATAAACTGAGGTGTGAAGATACAAAGGTGCTTTGGTGAGGACACCAGAAAGCAGAGGTAGTCAGGCCCCCAATGTCACCGCAGGGCTGGCCAGAGTAGCTGGGCTGAGCCCTACTGAGGGTCACCAGGGGTCCTTGGAGCACTCACCAGTATCTTTGGGGCTCCTACTAGCCTGAACCCACTTCTTTGCTCCTCAGCCCACCCCACAACCCCATGTGTGTGTCAGGAGAACCTCTCTGCCCCGGCACACCATTGGAACATGGTGCAGCTCCATCAGACTGTGCTGGCTTCGTGTTTTCTGCGGTTGTTCTTTCTAAACCTTTGGCAACATCTGGATGGAAGCCCTGTTGACTTGACTTCAGAAAACTAGTCTAAGAGGTTCTTCAGGTAATTTTCCATATCAGCGCATGAGAAATAAGAGATGTTTGGGGAGCGCATGTCAGGCAGTCTCTGAGCCACTCCAACCAACCACGTTCTCATGAAACGTTTGTCTCTAGCCAAGGTCCTGTGTGGAAGGACCGTCCTCAGCCAGCCTCTTCCCACAGTTCTGCGGGTTTCCCTACTCTTGGTCTGTGACTGAGGTGGACATGCGCACCAGGTCACACTATAAGTGGACCCCAAACCCAGGCCCCTTGTGTTGGCTCTGGGACAGGCAGGTGGCCTGGTTGGACTGGGCTGGTCAAGTCGGGGCTTGGAACTGTATGACATAGCATCAGGCCATCCATCTGAGGCATGACAGCCCAGTTCCTGGAGACTCTGATGTTGACCAGGAGGACCTGGCAGGGATGTCCTCTGCTCAATAAGCAGGAGGTCTCACCCCAACTCTGATGCCCACCTCTCCTCCCCCATTTGGCTAAACACAGCTTTGAGAAGTGTGGGAAGCACAGTGCCGCCATACTGTCCACCATGCTGGCCTCATACAGCTTCAGGGTCCCAAAGTCACTGTGGGGACCTGATCCGTTTCTCACCCTGTCACAGCAGCATTTCCCTTGGTGCTTCTGATTTTTGTTCACTGTGGAGGCGGCTTTGGAATGTTCCTGTGGAATGCTCCCCTGGCCGTCTGAAAGTCTCCTCCAGCCAGCCTCAATTCTCTCGAGAAGGCCAGGACAGCCAAAAGCAGGGGGGGGATACATCCTGAGCTCTGGGGCTGAACACTCTGGAACCCTCAGAGAAACACACAACAGAACCCAGCATCTTAGGGGCTTTCTGACCACCTTGGGTTCATCTTCTGTCCAGGGAGAGCTAGGCATACATCTGTTTCCTGGTGTGGTTTCCTTAGACTTCCACGTGGGTGCCAGAGGTTATTCTAACTATTGCCAAGAAAAAGCTTATAGCAAGTACAGAGCCAAATGCTGCAATACATTTCCCAGCTGTGCTAGCCAGGTTGGCATCCTCGTTACTATCCAGGCCAGGCAGGGCTGGGCTGCAGAGGAGGTTGTGACAGATGGAGAGTTCCATGTCTTCTGAGTATGCTGTATGGAGGAGGAGCTGGGAGGGTTCTGAGTGTGCACCATGGAGGAGGAGCTGGGAGGGTTCT